TGATTATAAGATGCGTTTTATTTTTCTGTGTCGTATCTCATTTAGATATCCCTCGCTGTATCTCTGTTTTTATTAGATATTACAACGGATGTTTAACAAAAGGTAAGCGGGTGCATTTCTTCAAAAGAAAGATAAAAAAGTTAAGAGTATTAAGGGGTGGCGTTTATCTTCTAAACTTCATCGGTATTTGTTTGTTGACATGCAGTGTAGCATTTAAAAGAAGTATGCAGATTTATGTGTAAATGTAAGATTAGCATGCAATGTTATCTCTGTTTTGAGCAGGTTACATAATGAATAGAATGAAATCAGCAATACACCTAAAACTACGTTAATACATTATAAAGAGACTAGATTTCAGACTTTAATGTGGTCGAAGAATTGCCATTGGTTGAAGAGAAAAGTGGAGAGATGTGTATTGGTTAATGAAAGACCTGCACAGACACATTTTATTTGATGGAATATAATTTCATTAATAATGTAATTATTTTCCCTAGTGTCTTATTACATTTAAGTAAATTGCGTTTCTTTACAAGTGGTTAAATATTTAAAGATATGAAGTTTTTACTAAATGTTCTCTGTTTGTCAGCATTGTAAGATTTACTTCCATACAACATTGTTTACAGTGCAAAGATTTATAAATCCAATCAATTTGCTAAGTAAGTTAAAGCTTCACAGTGATATTAAGTTGAAGAACAGCAATCAAAGTTCGATTTGTAACATGAATTTTAAAATACATCACCTTCACATTCCTTCTTTTATTGTTACGACTCGGGTCTGTTCTAAAAATGTCGGTCTAATATTCTCGATATACAACAATCTTCACATTAAAGCTAAGTGAATTAGAACAGAGCTTGCTCATTAAATATTTGAATATGAAGGAAAATATTACAAGAACGAACGAAAGACATCGGATGATGAATACTCAGTTAACAAAGTTACCTGAATTTTGCAGTCGTTTCTGCAATTAAAATAGTTAATGTATTCAAAATAAAATTAAAAACGCCAGAATTTACCAAGTGGAGTAAACATGTTATGTACATGGTATGGGTTTTGCTCATTGGTGAAGGTTGTACATTGACTTATGATTGCTTACATCCACTTCATTTGAACTCTCGTGGATAATTGTCTTATTGGCAATCATATTTTTTGTTATATAGCTCTTCAACTGTTTTGGTTCTTATACATTCTCGGCTTTCAAATATTCGGCTTTGAGCGTTCCTGATGAAGGTAAATCCAGAAAAGCGCTTCGGACGCATGAAATTATTTAACGTGTTGCTTTCATTTTTTGCAACATCTCCTTATTTCTATACATGCTATCTTTTCGTAAGATCCTACTAAGATGAAAATAGTTTATTGTTATTATAAGTATACCATATGTACATTAATGATGACGCTTTACCTCGATCCATATGTTCCATTACATTACGAGTATGTTTACATGTAAAAAGGAGACAGACATAGTGACGACTCTCGCATCACCTGAGACTTTGTGAAGGCATTATGTGAATGCATTATGTGAAGGCATTATGTGAAGACATTATGCATTATGCATCAATTAAGTTAGAGTTCTTTGTTGGTAATTAGAAAAAACTTACTTTTTTGTTATCTTTTCTGAAATATGTTGCTCCGTCTGTGCTATATCCTTTGATATGACAAACTTTTAACCTTTTTACTGATATTGCAATTTGGCGGGAATCAAATAATTTTACCTGAGACATCATGACATATGTTTATCACAAAGAAAATTCAATTACATTATATAAAGATAATGAAATCTTCCATCATTTGAAGACCAATTTAGTAAAATCATTCGGTGGTGTTTGAACAAAAAAATCAATAAAATTGAGAATGGAAACGGGGAATGTGTCAAAGAGACAACAACCCGACCAAAGAGCAGAAAATAGTCCAAGGCCACCAATGGGGGTCTTCAACACAGCGAGAAAATCCCGCACCCGGAGGCAGGCTTCAGCTGTCCCCTAAACAGAAACGTGTACTAGTTCAGCGAAAATGGACGTTAAACACCGAAACATATAAATGAACCAAAATTTAAAAAAAAACATACAGGACTAACAAAGGCCAGAGGTTCCTCACTTGGGAAAGGCGCAAAAATGCGGCGGGATTGAACAATATAGAATAAACAAACACACAGCAATACGCACAGTAAAACTCAGTTTAAAAGAAGTCCGCCGTGTCCGATGTTAGAATATGTAACAGAAGAAACTAAGCAAAATGACATTGATACATAAATTGACAAAGGACTACTAGCAGTTACTGACATGCCAGCTCCAGACCTCAATTAAACTGATTGAAAGATTATGTCTTCATCATATGAAAATCAAGCACAATCCCTTCCGTTAGGGGTTTAGTATCATACCATCATAAAATATACGAGACGAACATAACCCGTATCGTGCCAACAACTGGTTTTAGAATAAATGTGTTTATTTCCGATGCAAAGACCCTATTAGTGAATCAATATAAATTCCAAAAAATGCCATCTTTAATGACCTGACAACAGTATCGTAACTATATCCCTTCTGAATAAGTCTGTTTAAAGGTTTGGTTAGCTTTTGAGGTGAATAACGACATTTTTGTGCTTTGTATAGAATATTACTTTAAAAGATTGGATGTGAAATACCTGAACGTATAAGATGTCTGTACGTTGATTTATATTTACCAATGATGTCCTTGTACCGATGATAAAATTTTGTAAATGTTTTGACAAGTTTGTGATATCGAAAACCTGGTGTAATAATTTTTCAGTAATACAGAGATTTCTTTCGTTAAAATCAAATACGTTATTAAATACACGAGCGAACTGAACAAGTTGAGATATATAAACACCATAAGATGGTGACAAGGGAACGGCACCATCTAAAAATGGATAATTAACAATAGGAAATGAAAAATTATCTCTTTTATCGTAAATTTTGATATTGAGCTTCCCGTTAAAGATATAGATCTCAAGATCCAGGAAAGGGCAGCGTTCATTGTTAGTATTAGCTATATTTGAAGCCAGTTCAGCAGGATAAATCTCTTAAGTGTACATGCTGATGTCGTCATTTTTGAGAGCCAATATATCATCCAAATATCTAAAAGTGTTATTAATTTTTGTATCAGATGTCGTTTCGATGGGTCCTTGCTGATTTTATAGTCATAAATTGTAACTCGTATCAATACAGAAACAGGTCCTCAATAAGTGGTGCACAGTTAGTCCCCATTGGAATTCCGATAACCTGACAATGTACGGAATCTCCATAGCGAACAAAAATGATATCTAGTAAAAATTCAAGTGCAGTTATCGTATCAAAGGTCTAATTGACATAATTCTTTTGTTTGTTATTACAAAAAAAGATGACCTAAAAGAGTTTGAACATATCTATTTGCATTCTGACTTTTTAAATGCCCATTTAATTAGGTGTGTGAATTTTTCCTTAATGAGATTATGAGGCAAAGTGGTATATAGGGTAGTTCCAACGAATTTTTGACACTCCAAAAGTAATTAATTTCACTATTTTCATAGGACTTATTTGAACAGTTTAGTAGTAGTGGAACAATGGATTTCATGTAATTTATTAACAGGTAAAGAACAGAGCTTGGTTTACAGATAATGTCTGCCGTTGTTTTTTTAAATAGTAATTAGGTCCGAAATATTTGTATTGTTTGTACGAAATTTCTCTGATTGCGATTTATTCAAAAATGAATACTATGAATAAATGACGATATCAAGTATACCATTTCTGAGCCATGCATTCATCCGAAGTTCCTTTTTCACTAGCTACAGTAGTAATATGTGGTCCATATCATATAAAAGTTGAGCGATTAGTCGCTTCAACGATGTCACAATCGAGAACAATATGACAGGATTGTGGCTACGACAAGTTGAAGGTATCCGTGATCTCCTTAAAGTGCAACCAAATCATGATGGCGACCGTAAAATATTCGAAGGAACGACTTTAACTTTCCCAATAGGAACCCTTAGTTCAATAGCTTCCTAGTCAGCTGCAAACTTCTGATTAGAAACACAAGCTCTATAATATCGTATCCACTGGTAGATATGCAATGTATGTAACATATTTAAAAGCTTCTGGAATGTTGTTACAGAGAAATAGGACTTTCATAATTGGAAAACTGGATTCATCTCTTCAGGTTTTCAGTTTAGTACTCAACATACCACCATTGTAAATTTCTAGATGTAAGTAAATACATGAGGCAGACTTAACTGTATCCGTGGTATCCTAAAGTTAGATTGGATAAATGCGGTCATAAGAGTCACCACACTTAAAAATTTTCAGTAAGAGGACTTGGAAATGAAGTTAAAGCATAAAGCTAGCTTCTTTCTATTCTTTTTCAGAAGTGCGCTTCATATGAATAAAGAAACAAAAAATGGCGACTGTCTTTTGAAAAACGAGTCCTCCAAACCTAACAAATGTGTTATCAATTACAAAAACAAGCATCTTGATGGTGTAAGTTTCAAGGAAGTTTTTGTTTGAATCAGAGTGGGTTTTTTTTACAAAGTATGATGTTTCCCTTTCAAGAACAAGATATGTGTATGTGTCATATGCCATGCTCTAAACTGGTGCTAGTCGAAACAAGTCTTGATAGATTTAATGCAAAATTTCGTAATACCAAATTTATTTTGCTGCCCCAGATTATCAACGATCTGCCTTCAACATAATTGATCAATACGATAAGATACAAAAAAAGACAACCACCGAGGGGGTTTCTGACTTTGAATAGGCATATTAACATGTGATTGGGATCAACTTGTGTTAACGGTTGATTACCCAACAATTGTCTCTTCCATATCGAAATGTAGATTGTCAGTTGATAATATCTTGTAATCTTAAGATCAATAGGCAAGCTTCTTGCTTTGCTTCAGTATAAACAATGTCATATAACAAAGAACATGCAAGTTAAGATGCATTATTGATTGCATATACTTCTAATGAAAATGAAGAAAATAAATTATGTTTCATATCCAAACAATAAAACAATTACTCGTTCTTTAAATGTTTATTCTGATATCTATAAAGGGTGTATGTTGAACGGCTACCTGTCCAATATATTACGAAGATGCAGTGACTTCAAACCTAAAAATAGATTTTATGAAATAGAGAATACTTACAACTAAAACCGAACAGAACTTATAAACTTGAAATCCGAGATGAAACAAAATCTGCTTTGCTTTGCACATTTATCAAAACAAACGAGATGAGTTTTAGATCGAACTTGTGACCTGTAGTTTACGTCATTTTCCTATGATTTTAAGCTTTGCTGCATAGTTGTCCCATAGACAATCATATCACATCTCCTTAGTTTTATTTGTATAACTTATAGTACCATCATGTATGACCGGATGTGAGAATGAGATACACCACTGTCGGGATGAATCGGTCTGTCAAGTTTTGCACTTTATCAGTAGCAGAACTGCAAATGATGTCGGAAAACAAAAAGAAACATTTTTAATGACATCATAAAAACCACTATCTTGAGTTTATTTGGAGGAGGACATTCGATAGTTAATAAATTTATGTTTATGAATCAAGAGACAAAAAAGCTTTCAGCATTAATACTTTCATTTCTAGGACAATGTTTACTTTCTATAGTAAATAAACTCATCATAAATACTAGAATTAAAATTTTGTACGCCAGACGTGCGTTTTGTCTACAAAAGACTCATCAGTGACGCTCGAATCGACCAAATAAAGTACGAAGTTGAAGATCATTGAGGACCTTAAATTCCCAAAGATGTTGTCAAATACAGCTAAGGTAATCATCTTCATCAGTACTGAACATACCATGAACAATTACAGGTAATACATCTATTACATGGCCTATTTATTTCCGAATTATTTTTCATCAGATACGAATCAAGTCAAACGTTTGAAAACTTCCCATTTTTTTTGTAGGTATGATTATAATTTTGCGTTTTTGCTATTTTGCTCATAGCTATTTCGTGGCTATAATCGAACGTGTTAATAGCATTAAACCATAATCGCCACAATAATATAGTGTATCTAATTTTTTTATCTAATTTCAATGTGTACAAAGATTACTCATATTTGTCATTATATTATGGTGTAGTGCAATCATATGAAATACATCTGCAATTGCCCCTCTGCAACTAGCGACTCTCCTTACGATTACAAGTGACCCTAATCTGTACTTATAAAATAGTCATGACTATAAGCAGTATTCCTACTCATAAGATTTCTGTGAAAGGACCTGCTGCTGCGTAATTATAAACATATACTACGTGTATATACTTCAACGATCTGAATGTCAATAAAAAAAACTCATTAGAGATACCAGGTTTTTAATTTTGTACACAAGACGCGCATTTCTTGTCTAAAAAAGACTCATTACGAATCTAAGGTTTCAAAGTTGACCTTAGATGAATTTGGCTGTTATTTTTGTGTCCTTTTTGGATTGGTCACATAGCTCTTTAACTGTTTCGGTTCTTATAAATCCTTAAAATAATATTCGACATTAAGCGTTCCTGATGACGGTAAATCCAGAAAGCGCTTCGGACGCTTAAAACTATAAAGTGTTGTTTTAAATTTTTATTAGAGGGTCCCGAATAAAAAAAGTAAATGCCAAAATCAAGTGCGAATTTAAAGAGCTTCAATGCTATCGTTATATCATTGCAATATACATTAGTGTATATACGTAACTACTACATCAATATGACAGCCACTATTTAAACGACATCAATATAAAAATAAGGAGATGTGGTATGATTGCCAACGAGACAACTATCCACCAAAGTTCAAATAAAATGGATGTAAGCAATTATAGGCAATCGTACGGCCTTCAACAACGAGAAAAACCATTACCGTATAGTCGGCTATAAAAGGCTCCGACGTGAAAAATATGAACAATCCAATTGAGAAAAACTAACGAACTAATTTATAACAAAACAATTTACGAATAACAAATATGACAGACGTCAACCAACGACAACCACTGAACTACAGGCTCCTGGCTTGGGACAGGCAAATAAAGAATGCGGCAGGGTTAAACATGTTTGTGAGCACTCAACCCTCCCCTAACCTGAGACAGTGGTGTAGCAGAACAACATAAGAACAAACTATAAAATCAGTTGAAATAGGCTAAACTTATCAGATCGATACGAAGAAAAACATCAAACAAACAGACAGGATGTGGAAGGGTATATATCCTGTATACATAAAACCTACTGCACTCTGGAAGCCAGCATTGTAGTCATTTGCTAGTATACATACTGTTTTTCATACCTGCTACTGCACACTGGTAACCAGATTGTAATCACATGCTAGTATACAAATCTGCTACTGTACTTCGGAATCCAGCATTGTAGTCACATGCTATTATACATACCTGGTACTGCACTAGAATCCAGCATTGTAGTCACATACTAGTATACAAACCTGCTACTGTACTTTGGAATCCAGCATTGTAGTCACATGATAGTATACGTACCTGCTACTGCACTTTGGAATCCAGCATTATAGTCACATGCCACTTCATTATTTATGTAATTATTTCTGTCATCTCTATATTGATCACTTTGTCCAGGACCACCAACCAAGGCACCAAATAAAGTGTGGGGATTTGGGGCATCTGCCTGCTTGTTTAGGTCAGAACATGGCCCGGGCATCATTGGACACGAGCTACAGAATAGTTACAATTAATTTCTTTAAGATATGTTAATTTTCTTAAGCATCTGGCATGTTATTATAGAAATGTTACAATATTTATGAAATTGTATACTTCAAAAGAAAACAATATTTTCATGAATGAATGTATATTTTATTATTCAGGTCGACTAACAAAACTTATGTTAAAGGGACACTATCATTTATAACGCACGCGTATTCTTTTTTTAGTGCTTTTAATGGAAATTGACGGATGACGATAGGCTATGTATTTCTTTCTATTTCATAAAAATGATTAAATCTAATGTACAAAACTGACTATTTTCTTTTTCTTTTATGTGACAAATGGTTGGTTGGTCTCTGCAAAAGTTCTTGTACTATAATCAAGAACGAAGACAGAGTAAAAAGCAAAAACATAAAAATAAAATAAAATATATATACGTACCTTCCTCTGTGGTGAGGCCTTGATGGAGGATTAACACCGAAGCCTACTACAAAACTTCTTCCTGTGTCTCCAAGGGCGTATCCGATCTGACTTTTAGCCCATTTTCGGTATTCTGTAGGATGCATACCAACTTCAGCCGCAAGTAAAGCCATAAATGCCATATTAGCTATAATGTGGTGAGAATAAATTCATTAACTAACGAAGAATTTTACAAAGAAAATTATAAATTTTATTTATTAAACAAAGAATTGTGTACACTACAGCAAGGTTAGTAATATTCGGAAAATTATTATGGTAGACGTTCACAGGCGCTTAAGGTGAATGGGGTGGGAAATTTTCAGAGACAAGTGCCTGTTAAGACGTTGGAAAATATAAAGTCTTGTCGAATTATCGGCATTGATACTTATTTCTCGATATATGACTCTGCGATTAATGGAGAAGGTCCGGTAAGGGCTAGTTTTGGCCTAAAATTTGAGGTACCTCTGATGGAAGATTTTTGACATTTTAAAAACACTTGAGTGTCTACTTCAGTCGATTCAATTCGTTTTTTGTAAAAGATTTAAACTGATATGGTCATTAAAGACGCTCAAATTCAAGCTTAAATATGAAAAATCTATCAAATATGCCATAAAACGTCACTTTTCAGATGGTTTTTGTCTAAAATGAAAGTGGCCGCATTCGTGTTCAGCCTCAACCTTTATATATGTTATATAATATCATCAAGTTCAACATATATTTAAATATTAAGACTGAACACAGATGCGGCCACTTCTATTTTAGACAAAAACCGTCTTAAAATTAGCACAAATATTAGAATTGTGAAGATTTCAGTAATTTTGCATGAATTAATGATGCTATTACCTGATTTGTATTGTCAAAAACAGCCAATATTTATGTAGCAAAAGTATTCTACTTTCCAATAAATAGCTAAAAGTTTACATTTCAACAAATTGGTAAAAATGCTATATTTTGGGGCCAAAAGGGGGTCTTACCGGGCCTACCCCTTTACAAAAAACTTGCGAAAAAGTAAACATTTAATTAAAGAGCCACCGGAATTGTATAACTAGGAGATGCTTAAGTCGTCGACAGTTTTTACTTTAATTTTTGTCAGTAATGTTGTTCCTGTACTAACACTATTTTAACAAACATCTGCTATCCATCTTCTTTAATATATAAAATCTGTGATAATGAGACGACATCTTTTTAAGAAGGCCTTGGTTAGATAGGTTTGGGAGAGTACGTCGATTTGTTCCTTTACAAAACATTGTTATATGTTCTGTCTAGCCATTTATCACTTGTAGTTCAGTGGTGGATCCAGGGAGGGGGGAGGGGGGTTGGAACCCCCTTTTTTTGACGATCAATGCTTTTGAATGGGGAGATATGGTTGGAACCCCCCCCCCCCCCTTTTAAAAAATGGCTGGATCCGCCCCTGTAGTTCAATAAAAGAACAGAGTTCCAATGTCCCCCGCGTTGCACATATTTTATCTATCCAAGGTACAAGGGCAATATATATATATAACTAAAAAAAAAAAACTTTTTTTTTCTTTAAAACTTTTTATTAATATCTTAGAGAAATGAAGGCTTCAGAGCAAATGCAATGTGATTTCCATTATAATTAGTATTTCCAAGGGGCATAACTCGTTTAAGAATAATTGATCAGAACTTATTTTCGAAGTGTCAAAGACATTGCTGATATAAACCGATGATACAAGTTTCATAAAATTCTTGCAAGAATTGAACATATGAGAGAGCTAACAATGCAATTTTCCATATAATTAATGTTTCCAAGGGGCATAACTCTTTTAAGAATAAATGATCTGCACTGATTTTCGAACTCGTCCAAGACATTGCTGATATAAACCTATGATATAAGTTTCATAAAAATCTGACAAGAATTGAACAAATGAGAGCACTAACGATGCAATTTTCCATATAATTAATGTTTCCAAGGAGCTTCTTTTAGAAATAATTGATCGGCACTGATTTTCAAACTCGTCCAAGGCATTGCTGATTTACACCTATAATATAAGTTTCATAAAAATCTGGCAAGAATTGTACATATGAGAGCACTAACAAGACCGGACGGACGGACGTTCGCCCGGTATTTCTATGTCCCCGCAATGCGTTGCGCGGGGGACAATTAAAAGGGCGCTTATATTGTTATACATTGTGTGAGTTGTTAGATAAGTCAGAATACTAATTTTGTCAAACTAAAAAATCTATATGCCAACTATTGCACTTTTTGGTAAAAAAAAAATGAAAATACAACATATTGTGAGAAATTATCATAATACATAAAAGATAACAAGGGGTCTTCTCTTTATTCTTTGATGGATAGAACCAGTACACATGAACCTACAAGCATATCTAAGGGATCCCCACTGTAGTCTGAAAGCCAGTCCTTTTGGGGTGTAAGGTAAAGCATCACCACCGGTTCCACCCGGCATCCAGTTCTTGAAAGTCTGCTCTAAGTCCTGTTTGTAGATGTCTTTCTTTGTTATGTTATACAGTAAAATCTGAAATAATATCAATTAAAAATAACAAAGACGTTACATATCTAGATCTATAGCTGTAAACATCATATATGGAATCGTGAAAGGCTTAATGGCTCAACTTATATTGATAAAAATTCGTAAAAAGCACTTAAGGAACATTTTCGTAAACGGGGAACTCACGAATGATAACTGGTATAACAATTCGCAAGCAACTATAGCTTTTAAAACTGCTATAAATATTTAAAAAACATATTATGTGTAAATTTTTACTTTACATAATAAAGCAAATTAAAAATTCTGCAAATAGAAGTACAAATATGTAGACACTAAAAATTACATTTGAAAGATATACAAAAAGTCTATGGGGTCACCAAATTCGGTATTAATATGAAAAGTCATTCAGTGTATCAGTCATATCTAACAACATTGAAAAATGAGGTTGGGATGCATATTTCATTTCTTTTGAGAAGATTCAACTACTAGCATCTATACTCTAAACATTCAACTACTAACATCTATACTCTGAACATTCAACTACTAACATCTATACTCTGAACATTCAACTACTAACATCTATACTCTGAACATTCAACTACTAACATCTATACTCTGAACATTCAACTACTAACATCTATACTCTGAACATTCAACTACTAACATCTATACTCTGAACATTCAACTACTAACATCTATACTCTGAACATTCAACAATTAACATCTATACTCTGAACATTCAACTACTAACATCTATACTCTGAACATTCAACTACTAACATCTATACTCTGAACATTCAACTACTAACATCTATACTCTGAACATTCAACTATTCATACTCATACTCGTACTCAGAAAATTCAACTTTTCATACTTAAATTCGGTGACCGTTCATCAATATTAGATAGATAAAACGGAAAGTTTAAGGACAAGTCGTGAAAACTAATCAAAGAAGCATGATTTCTACAAATAAAAGTCTAAGATAAAAAACTCTTTTGCAATATTTATGTTTGTTCTTTACAATCGTACCTATATTTTCTGTATTCTTAATTTACTATATCTTGGAAAGTATAAAAGTACAAAAGTTACATATGTCATTTTGGATATTGATATCCAGTTCCTATCCGCATATTCTAATGGTTTGTAAAATATCCTTCAAATCCGTGTTGTCGAAATTTTTTCGTCGCTGTCAACTAATGACAACAATCATAACAACTAAACTACAGACATCTGGCTTCAGAGGGGAACAGTTAGCGAGATTTAACATATTTGTGACTGAGTTCACAACTTCTAAATAGACTCCGTGATGTATCAGCAGCAAAACGATACAATAAACATAGTTATCGGCGGGGAAGAGGTCATATAACAGGTAGTTGGTTGAATATACCATATACATTTTCTTATATTTTCTGACAATGTATTACTGCTAGTCAAACACCTAATCTTAATACTAAAATTGTCTTACTTCTTAATATTTTTCATTTCACGTATTTATACCTGTTCAATTCTATTCACGGATCGTTTACGGTTCGGCACAGTCTGAATCGTCTTACCAATATTTTATTACCACTGTTAGCTTCCAATTTTCGTTGATTGTACGGGTATAGGTGAACCATGAATTCAAATATTCAACGAAGTACATTTTTTTCTATAGGCTTGCATGTAGACTTTTGTATAATCACGAAATCAAATATCCACGAAAAGTAATTTTTTCCTTAATCCACGAAAATTGGAACCCACGAATATAAATGAATCCACAGTATCCGATCATATCAATAGGTTCAAAGCCTATCAAATCACTTTTAGAAATGGCTTTGTGTTTCTGATTATGTTACTTTTGACAAATAAGATACAGTATTTGTGCATATCAGTCCGGCCGACATCTTACCATATTTCCTGTATTTTTATCATCCCACGATTGTCCCCAAGCCGCTCCTGTCTGATAATTTTTCTCGGCATCGTCCAGGTATTGAGAATCATTGGTTGCCATGTACAGCCAGGCTCCTCCCCATGATAGTTCATCTTCATACATAACCGATCTATATATTTATATATAACGTATAATATTTCAATGGAAATGTGTGGTTTTTTTTTTATTTACTATATATGACGTAAACGTTTACTGTGACGTCTTTTGAATTAAGGTAGCTAGTTGTCTTTTTTGTCAAATAAATATACAAAGACAAAAGGCCCTTACGAATGACTGTTAATTTTGGATATACATTAAATGAAAATAACATTTTATAAGTTTCGTACGTTCGAAGCGCTTTCCGGAAAAGTAGTCACATTGTCAATCATACCACATCCCCTTATTTTTATATTAACCACGCCATATTCTGTATCTGCATGTCCCTTGTCAGGAGCCTGCAATTCAGTGGTTGTTGTTGGTTGCTGGCTGTCTTGTGCGGGTTTTTTTTTACTAATATTTTAGCAGAAATCAGGACGCTCACCGGTTTGTCTCGTTTGAATTTTTTCAATATGTCGGTGTCTTTCAAATCTTACTTGATGTACGGGTTTTAATTATTGCTGAAGGTCGTACAGTAACCTATAGTTGCTTACATCTACGTTAGTTGGTCCCTTGTGGATAGTTGTGTCATTGGCAACCATACCACATCTCCTTATTTTTATACAAAATCCTAATAGCACAATTTACTGAGAAAAAAGACATGTTAAAGGTCGACACACTGTTTGCATTAATAAACAATCTGTACAAAAGTTTAAGCTCTACATAAATTTTATCAAAAAATTTCTAAAGAAATAAACACACATTTCCTTAAAGCAAAACAAAAATCTCTTAATTAAAAAAAGAAACAACAACGGACCACGTTCCTGTACAGCATGCCTACCTGTAATAAGCGGCTGCCTCGGGAACACTTGTGCTGTAAATACCTTTATACGTCTTTGCAAAATCGTATAACTGTTTTGCATGAGCCAATAGCTTAGCTGAAAATACTGGATCTACAATAAAGTTAACGAAGAAGTCATCTTACAGTGTCTCATGAACAAGCATCTACCATATTGCATAAAGTATATTAGAACACATTATTAGACTATATTGTAATCATGATCGGTTGTAAACGTGACTGTGAAAATATCAGATTTCGTACAATATCTTGTAATTTACATTTTTTAAGTGTGTTTGCTTGCTTTATACACAGCTTTTAGATACGTTATTTTTTATGCGTTGTACTTCTAGTTCCCATGGTCAGATGGAACGAGATTTCACTACCCGCAATTGCTTGACAGATACTAGTTGCTTCGCATCACGGTGCGAAGCTATTAGTTTCATTCGATTTTCAGGCCATCATGAAACCATTACCTCATAAATATCAGTTCTGAATGGTTGCTTTAAAATGTGGCTAAGGTTCTATTGGCTAAAATGAGATATACAATTATGAACATGTCCCGTACAGGAGAAGGAATAACATTACAGTATGGGTATTTAAGATCCAATCAACAATAAAATATGATACTCTGAAGGACTTCTTACCTTTTAAGAAAGGCTGAACTTACTTGATAGTTTGACTTGTCTTCTTTGTACTGTTTTCGGTGAAAATATTCGGTTCCCCTATTGCATTCATTAAATGGGAGCTCAGCTTGCAAGACAATGACCATTTTACAGAACCGAGTACGGTTTACGAAAACTATCATTTGATGCACATAAAATAGCGTTTGACAGAACATGTGTTTATCGACCAAAGAAAATCTTTAAACTAAATTGTTGAGGGTGGCGGGAAGTAAAACTATACGCTTTGGTATTTTAACTGATCATGAATGTTTGTTCGTATATCTTAACGTATAATATGCATACTAATGCGCAAATGTATAAATACATGATTGTGGTCGCTTGATTATTAAAATGTTTTAGAACGTAAAATTCTAAGGAGTATGATTAATAGGAAAGACTTTTCGTCAAAAACATGTTGATATGTAGATCTCATTCAAAATCTAGCCTTTTAAAAGTAAAACATTTCCAGTTTATGAGCATTCTTACGTATACAAATTGAAGAGCAGGGTTTGAAAATCCTTAAAAGGGAAAACTTTTACGTAAATTTTATATTATATCAATTAAGGAGATGTTGTATGATTGTCAATAAGACAGTAATCCAACACAGTCCAAATGAAGCGACTTTAAGCAACTATAGGTCACCGTACGGCCTCCAAAAATGAGCAATACCCATACCTTATAGTCAGCTATAACAGGCCTCGACATGACAAAGAAAATGTGAAACAATTCTAACGAAAATACCAACGTTCTTCCAATTCCACAGACGACATTAATCAGTTTTAAACTTGTAATTTTATATTCTTATTTTTATGATATTTCCAGAACACTTCAAATTTTTTTTTAAAAAGATGTCTTTATAAGTGTTGCTCTGATTTTGCGTCTTTTATGTAAAAAAAAGAATATGCAATGCTGTATACACAATAATTTGTAGTTAATAAGAAATATGGCTTAAAATATATCGAATGATATCTTTAATATTTCTATCCTCTTCTTAAAACACCATAGGCCGCGATATAGCCTTTTTGTGATGATGTGGCGTAAAGAAATCAATAATTAAACACCATAGATCCTTAATAAGAAACATTGCTTAAGATATATCTTATCTCATCTATAAGATTTGAACCCTTTTCTTTAAATGCCATGGATCCTTAATAAGAAACATGATTGAAAATATATCTATCTTATCTATAAGATTTCTACCCTTTTCATTAAACACCATATATACTTAATAAGAGACATTTATTTTAAAATATATCTTATCTTATTTGTAAGCTTTCTACCCTTTTCTTTAAACACAAAAGATCCTTAATAAGAGACATTTATCTTTAAATTTATCTCATATTATCTATAAGATTTCTACCCTTTTCTTTAAACACCATAGATCCCACAGCCATTGCAGCAGCATATTCTGCTGCTACGTCACTTCCTGGATTAGTTTCAGTTATTTTGAATGCGGGCCTATCCATTTGCATGTCTTCCGGTCTTCCCCAAAATGCATGATCTTTTCCACCATCACCAACCTATGTATTCAAATAATTACTGAAGTCATGAATTGATAAACAAGAGTGCACACGCTGAAATGTCTCGCCTTCTTTACTGACCATTGATTTTATGTTGATAGTCCTAAATATAAAGCTTTACTAAAAGTATCACATAAACAGATAAACCAAACCGGAAATACATGTACACCTTACAATCATTCAATACACCAAATATAGTTGACCTATTGCTTATAGTTTCTAAGAAACAGACTTAAACAGGAAAACTAAACATTGACCAATGAACCATGAAAATAAGGTCAAGGTCAGATGAACCATGCCAGACAAACATGTACACCTTACAATCAATCTATGCATTAAATATTATAGTTGACCTATTGCTTATAGTATCTAAGAAACAAACTTAACCAGGAAATCTTAACATTGACCAATGAACCATGAAAATGAGGTCAAGGTCAGATGATACCCGCCAGACAGACATATACACCTTACAATCATTCCATACAACAAATATAGTTGACCTATTGGTTATAGTTTAAGAAAAAACAGACCAAATCACAAAAAATAAACACTGAGCAATGAACCTTGAAAATGAGGTCAAGGTCAAATAAAACCTGCCAGACTGACATGTACATTGTAAAATATTTCCATACACCAAATATAGTTGACCTATTGCATATAGTATTAGAAAAAAAGATCAAAACACAAAAACTTAACTTTAACCACTGAACCATGAAAATGAGGTCAATGTCACATGACACCTGCTAGTTTGACATGTACACCTTACAATCATTCCATACACCAAATATAGAAGACCTATTGCTTATAGTATCTGATATATGGACTTGACCACGAAAACTTAACCTTGTTCACTGATCCATGAAATGAGGTCGAGGTCAGATGAAAACTGTCTGACGGGCATGAGGACCTTGCAAGGTACGAACGTATTAAATATAGTTATCATATTACTCATAATAAGAGAAAAATTAACATTACAAAAAAATTTAACTTTTTTTTCAAGTAGTCACTCAACCATGAAAATGAGGTCAAGGACAATGGACATATGACAGACGGAAACTTCATAACACCAGTCATCTATATACAAAGTAAAAAGCATCCAGGTCTTCCACCTTGGAAAATATAAAGCTTTTAAGAAGTTAGCTAACGCCGCCGCCGTAGCCGGATCACTATCCCTATGTCGAGCTTTCTGCGACAAAAGTCGCAGGCTCAACAAAAAAATGACACAAAATAAAGGTCAATTGAGAAATAAAATTTATTTCAAAATAATCGTAAGAATTAAATATTTAGTATAGACATTTGTTACGCCAAAAATCGGAAGTAATTGATGTTTTTACCTGGACATAAAGTTCATTTTTCCCTGTGTGGCATTTTAGCATCCATTCTAATGGCCACCTTATACAGTCGTACATCTCTCCTAGCTCCTCACTTGCGAAATAGGCGTCCTTGAACTCCAGAAGTCCCCATGCAAGTATTGTTACAGTAGCAGACATCGGGAACCCAAATTTTACATTGTCTCCAGCTGAAATACAATAGGAAATAAAACACGTGTATATTATATAGTCCAAACGGTTCACCAAAAGCCCAATTAAATTGACAAAAATCTGGAATTAAATGTACAGAACTATTGAATAGAATACATTGTAGGATTATCAACAACTGTTAACTAAATCAAAATTACAAACTTTAAAAATAAGAGAGAATTAGAATGATAGCAATAGAGGTACATAGAATTGCTAATAAACAATGTCCACTGTATTTACATGATCTTATTGGAATTAAAGACTGTGGTTACTCTTTCAGAAATGATAATATAGATGACATTCCTAGGGTAAGGACAACTACCCATGAGCTACAGTCATTCAGATTTGCAGGAGCCAAACTCTGGAACAAACTGCCGAATAAGATAAGGGAAGAAATACCTTTTGGTTAGTTTAAAAGTTTGGTTGCTAATTGGGAGGGCAGTTCGTGTAAAGTGTTCCTCCTGCAGATCTGAGTGAGCTGTAGAACATTTATTTATCTTATATACTCTGGCTTTTATATTTTTGTTTTATACTTTTTTGTTTTGTTCTAAATGCTTGAAATTCTTTTAGTGCTTAATAGCTACTGCATGAATGTCAATTGTCTGCATTTTATGTTTGCTTTTATATACTTCGATTTGCTTGTTATTTGCTATAATTTGCTGTGGTTTAATAACAATAGTTATGCTTTGCATAATGTGCTTTCTGTTTTATGTGTTTTATGTCTTATGTTTATCACATGTTATGTCGGTTAAAAGCTCTACAGAGCTTATGTTTGTATTGTTATATGTATACCCGACTTTATAAATAAAACAATTATGCAATTGATCTTATTTATACGTGGTTTATGACCTTTTCAATGTGCCACGTCGCTCTGGTTATAGTTCCGAAGAGTAAATCGAGAAAATGCATCAAAAAATGTAGTTAAAATATTTTATATAAAAAAAAGAAATTAAATATAGAAATTATATCTTAGTATGATATACTTAAAAACAGTATGTGCAGATCTGATGATACAAATCCTTTCCAACTGATGTTTACAGTTTTCTTATGTTGTGCTGTTACGCCATTGCGCTTCTATACAGGTTTAACCCCGCTACTCGTTCTTTTGTTCCTGGCGAAAAGTTTGGCTAATGAGCAATCATACCACATCTCAATATTTTATATAGATTATTTCAAAGACTATCCTTGTTATCTTTATTGGCGATGCATTGCAGTTTACCATTAGATCTTAGTAACATTTCATAAATGAAAGAATGAAAAAACATTCTCTCATATAATCTTCCATGACAAGTTTCATTGAAAGCAGTACAATCTCTTTTGTTTAGAGCTGTAAAAAGTAAAATAACAAAAATACCGAACACCAAGGAATATTCAAAACGGAAAGTCCCTTATCAAATGGCAAAATCAAAAGCTCAAACACATCAAACGAATGGAAAACAACTGTCATATTCCTGACTTGGTACAGGCATTTCCTTAATGTAGAAAATGGTGGTATAAACCTGGTTTTATAGCTAGCTAACCGGCCCTTGAGTTGCTGCTAAATTGAAGAACATCAGATCAAATCAAATTACTTCGTCAGCGATTTTATTACTTATGAATTTAGTGGTAGCAAACGGTTGGCGAGTATATCTCATTCTATGTATGAGAAGGAGGAAGTTATACCTGATGTTTCATAAATCTCCGAAAAATGAAGTTCAAAGGAATGCAACATCTATATATGTGTGAATTTTGAAAAAAAAATGTAGCTCAACGGATTTCCATTCCTTTTTGTGTTTCTCCATGAATTCCTAATCATAGAAATATTGAATATAAATTGACCAGGAGGTAGCTGCATTTGGTTCAAACTTGAATTAAATGATAAAATATGTGAATGTGACCGTTGAAAATCAATACTAGTACCGAAAATAACAATCAATATTATTGCACAACAGTTATTTCTGTATTGATACAAAATCGACGATAAACCCAACTTTAATTGTTAAATTCATTAATACATGTAATTATTTTATTTTTTCTTCTTCTTTCAAGCTGACTATTAAGCTAATAAACTATTTTATGACAAATGATTTAACTGAAGAGAGTAACCAAATGAGCTTTTTTACCGAAATAGTTTCAATATCCGTGAATACTTTTGTATTGTGTTATTAATTTCTTCTGCAATTGTAAAAAACTATTATTTAACATTGATTCATTAAATTAAAATATTGAAAACTAATAATAATAATAATAATAAAAAACATACACACATTGTATTGCAGGTATTCAAAGGTCGATTCCCCCTAGTATGTGTTCCAGCTAACAGACATACTCCGTGTAATAGTTCCGAGGTTACAATCATCTATATAATAATTACTGTTCAGAAGATAAGCTGACAATGTTGCGTATCTTGTTGAAGACAAATTTAAAGACACTAAAGGACAATCAGAAATCATAACTCTACGAAAAACATAGCCAATACTAAAGAGAAAAAACACCTACAATATTGAAGCATTTTATATACATGAATGTAAAAAAAGCAATAAAAAAGTGCCCTTCGAAAATCTATTTAGATTCGTAGTTTTCAAATCAAAAATACATACCATCATACCATCCACCGGTTAAATCTTCACCATTTTGTCCTTTGTCAAGCAGAGCAGAATCATTTCGCCATGGTATAGGGTTATCTGCCGGAAGTTTGCCAGACCTTTGCGCCGCGTAAAATAATATTGACTTTTCGAGGACTTCATCATAATTATACTTTGTACCATCATCTGGAGGGGGAAAACAATTGGTTCTTTTATATGAGTAGCACGTGTGATAATATGATATACACTCTGGAATGACAGGCGAAATATACAAAAAGGACATTCAAACTTAAAGTCGAATACAACTGACAACACCATGGAATTATTTGAAATAATAAAATGACAACTATTATAAAATGTCGTTTTTTAAAGAATCTTTTTAAGGAATTAAAGGTTACCCCAATATTTAAATTCACGGAATTTATGGCGGTCGTATTTCTACAGCTATAACTTTATTATTTCAAAAGACGTTAAGACAAATGAAGTACCATATTTTAAGAGAGCATTTAAAGATACATATTCAATAAATGGACTGTTGTTCTAAGTAAGTAAGTAATCTTTATTTAAAGCCGGGTTTTCATAAATACATACAAAGAACGTTAGAGCTCTTTAACCGACTGATATATAAAACATAACAAATCAATTATAGAATAGCAGCAAATATATAAATATAACACATACAAGCAATACAAATTCAGCAGCACATTTCAATACATACAGAGGGCCTAAGTAGTCGAACTACTGTGTCACTAGCCTGTCAACACTGAGGTGAGTTCGAATTCCGCTTGACTCTAATTTTAATTGACTGGGATTGTAAGTTTTCCCACCGAAGGTCAGTGGTTTTCTCCGGACACTCCGACTTCCTCTACCAATAAAAGCTGACCGCCACGAAATAGCACAATAGTGCTGAAAGTGGCGTTAAACACCAATTAATCAATACATGCATACAAAGCAGCACACATCAATACATACAAAGCAGCACACATCAATACATACAATGCACATGCAGTATGAAAAGCAAAGCAACATATACATATAAACAGATACAAATGAAGCAACTGAAAGTAGAAGATATCAATACAGACAGAGCACATGCAAAGAAGAGACAAATGCAAGCAGCATATAGATATATAGCACATACATACATTAAAAGCAGAAGATATCAAGTTCAAAGCATATTGAAATAAAGTACTACTAAAAGCATAAACATATAAGAGTAAGTAGCTGCAGCACAGTTTTTACAACAGAAAAAGAATAGTAGTTTTTGTTATAGATGACAGCAAATTATGGAGTTTAGAAATAAATAAAGCAAAACGAATAACAGGCTTCAAGTTTAGTTCTAGAGGAAGCAAGCGATGTCATTATTTGCATGAAATACCAGTACAGTTTTCCACAGGCACTTGTCTCAGAAAAAAATTTCCTATATACCTTAATATAACACAAGGTACTTAACTCGCATTTTTTAAAAACGTCAGCCGGTCGCGAAATTCTGTTATATGCCGATTTATTGGTTGTCAACCCCACTAGAACTTGTTATGTCGTAAATCTAAATTGATTTTTCTACACAATGGTGTATACCACGCCTACTTTTGTTGACGGAATCATCTGTAGCAGGCCAACCCAAGTATGTCAATCGTCATTATTTCGTCTACCGACGCCAGATTGGAAATACAAAACTCGCAGTAAATGATTAATTATAAAAATTATTTTAAAAAAACTTATTAAGTTTTGTCTAAATAGAACTTATCACCCAGTAAGTAAAATTGTATAAGGTACCGTGAAAAAAAATCTAACAACTGTTATTTGTGGTATGTCTAATAAGTTACGAGTTTCTTTTTTTAGACATAAATTTTCCCATTACGTCAATGTCATTCAGACTCTCTCTGGACTTTACGTATGAAATGAAATAAGATCAGATAACTCCGAGAAACATTAAGACCTTCCCATAAATTTGACCAATCGGAATTCGAGATATATAAAGAGAGTGGGAGTAAAATCACAAAAATACTGAACTCCGAGGAAAATTCAAAAAGGAAAGTCCCCAATCAAATGGCAAAATCAAAAAACAAAAAAAAACAAACAAACACGTCAAACGAATGGATAACAACTGTCATATTCCTGACTTGGTACAGGCATTTTCTTATGTAGAAAATGGTGGATTGAACCTGGTTTTATAGCTAGCTAAACCTCTCACTTGTATGACAGTCGCATCAAATTCCATTATATTGACAACGATGTGGGAAGATACCTTTTACTGCGAGACATATATTTCCAAGTTGGCGTCGGTAGACGAAATAATTACGATTGACATACTTGGGTAGGATTGCTACGGATGATTCCAAAAACAAAAGTAGGCGTGTCATACACCATTGTGTAGAAAAATCAATTTAGATTTACGACATAACAAGTTTTAGAGGGTTTGACAACCGAGAAATCGGCATATAACGGAATTTCGCGACCGGCTGACATTTTTCAAAAATGCGAGTTAAGTACTTTTTGTTATATTAAGGTATATAGGGGAAAAAAATTCTGAGACAAGTACCTGTGCAGTTTTCAGAACAAAAACACAAAGAAGAGATATAGCTTTTGAACCGACCAATATAGCTCAGATACAAATTATATTGTTATTTCTCCTATTAGTTAAACTAATGTTTTTGAATAATGTTGTATGACAGCATTGAATACATTATCAATGAAATGTAATGAAATGATTAGAATTCATGTTTGTTGCTGTTGTTGTTTTCATGGGGGTTGGGAGGGTTCTTCGAACTTGTTTCACTTTATCACTATACAAAGCAATCATCGTTAAAATTATGAAGAATACAAAGATATTCCATTACGGGGTGTTATAAAAATTCTGACTACTATTGCATTAAACAGTTTTTTAGCAATTTTTTAAAACGCAATTATTCGGTAAAAATTGAAAATAACACATTATATAATTGTGTCCGTCTGAAAGGATTTTCTGGATTTACCTTCATCTGGAACGATGAATACCCACAAAAGGGAGGAGCAATACGACCAAATGGGACATAAAAAGAATAGACTATTAAGTGTTACAGTTTCAAATTGATAAATGCACAATCAAATGAATATGGCGGATAAGATCATTTTTAAAGCTCCAAATCTGATACTAAATGACAGTTATGTCACTTCCAATTATGTATCTTAAAGTCAATGTCACGCGGCTGTGGATTCGCAAAGATCAATTATGAATTCAAAAGTACCGTACATACTATTTGGTAATGGGGGAACAGTGAATGTATCAACTCCCAGATTTTTCAGGACTGCTGTTCCTGTTGGTTTTGTTCCACTGTATTCAAGCTGGACAGTGATATCCAACGTGTCCCCTATCTTCTTCACACCAGTATGTCTTCGATTAACCAGTATATGAACCGAGTTATCAGTTGAATGTTCAATCTCGTCGCCCATCCATTGCTGCAATAATATGGTTGTAAATGTAATTTCAAAATAAAAATAAATGACATACCGTTAGTAGATTTATTTTTTCTTTATTGCAAAGGTATATTTCAGGAATAGTTTCATTAGCTGTATTTGGCAAAACATTTCGGAATTTCTTCATATTCGTATTTTATTTGGCCTTTTTGTCGAGCCTGCGACTTTTGTTGCAAAAGCGAGACATAGCGATCATACATTCCGTCGTCGTCGTCGGCGGCGTCCACAAATATTCACTCTGTGGTTAAAGTTTTGAAATTTTAATAACTTTCTTAAACTATCCTGGATTTCTACCAAACTTGGACAGAAGCTTGTTTATGATCATAAGATAGTATCCAGAAGTATTTTTTTTTTTTTAAATCCTGTTTTATCCGTATTTTACTTATAAATGGACTTAGTTTTTCTGCCAGTTAACATTACATTCTCTTTGTGGTTAAAGTTTTAAAAATTTTAATAACTTTCTTAAAATATCCTGGATTTCTACCAAACTTAGACAGAAGCTTGTTTATGGTCAAAAGCTAGTATCTAGAATGAAATTTTGTAAAAATTTATTTCCTGTTTTTCCGTATATTACGTATAAATAGACTTAGTTTTTCTTCCAGTTAACATTACATACAGTCTGCAGTTAAAGTTTTTAAAACATTTATTAGATTCATAAACCATCCTGGATTTTTACCAAACTTGGACAGAAGCTTCTTACAATCAACAGATACTATCTAGAGGAAAAATTTTAATATTTTTTTCCCCATTTTTGTTGAGCCTGCGAATTTTGTCGCAAAAGCGAGACATAGCAATCCTTCATTCCGTCTGAAAACATAGACAACAGCAAAAGTAGGCGAGACAATGGGTTCCGCGGAACCCTTACGAAATTTTAACTTTTTTCGAGCCTCACTGATGAGTTTTTTGTAGATGAAACGCGCGTCTGTACTCTATGTAAAGTGTATTTAATTTAATATTGAAATCCTTGGCGTTTGAATTTATAGTTTAATGTCGTCCGTAGGTTTGCATCAATAAATAGATTTCTTTTTTCCTATTCTAAAACACGTGGTTGCTGTTTTAAGATGATGAACAAAATAAAATCAAACGAACAAATTGGTATCCATTTTATCGTTGAGAAAAGTAATTCGAATTTGAATATTTACATTTATCTTTGTAATTGGACTGGAGAACGTGATAAAGCATTCCCATCCATTAAGTTCCTCTGTTATTTGGAACCGGAAATGACCTTCCATCCTACCACCCCAGTCATTTACACTAGTCATGGTTGTTGTCATGTCTGCATGTGTCAAGACCGGAAGTACCAGCAATAATAGCAACATTGCGGTCATATTCCTACAGACAGAAATGGAAACAATGAAAGATAACTTGTAATTGTACGAAAGATACCCTTCAATAGGAAAACAATATTGTCCTTATATTGAAATAATGTTACATGTTGATAGGCAAAACCTATGTTGCGAGCGACTAAAAAGTTTATTTTTTAGTCTACTAATTGCCTACCTAGCTTTATTGAGACAAGTGATACCTGATGAGCTCCCCCAATGGTTCAGTTTAATAGAAAAACAAAGGATATGGGGTATCAATCCATAACATGTTTGTGTGTACAAAGTAAACTACAACGTTACAGTTTTGACTGTAAATGCAATGACTAGGTTATACTGTTGATGATTTACTTACTTGAAGAATTTGATGTTAATGGCAGATCTCTGATCATTTCTCTTTAATTTTATTCATAAATTTTATAAACACATAAAACAGGGTCTGGATGGGGGTCTTTGATTTCTGTTTTCTTTAAATTTTGATGGCATTTTACCTTATCTTTGAAAATAGCGCGTATTCTGTAAATTTGTCTTGAACAAGATTTTACTATTAAATTTGTCTGCAGTTAAATGATTTCTTTATTTAGCATATCGTTCCTTTCTGTAATCAGTATTGTAATATCCAAGTTTTTTATTTTCCACAGTTATTCTTTATAATGTTGCCTCCCATAATTCTCTTTTCTTATAGTTGCTCATTTTCTCTATTCATTATGTTTGGGGGGGCCATTATGTTCTTTTCTGTAAATCCTATCTAGACCCTCTTAGAATTAGACCTTGACATATTGCATACTAAATGTTGACCACTAGATGTCTTTTGATTATTTGCGTCGCTTGGTTGCTGTCTTACTGACGTATAATCATTATGGCTCCATTTATTTATATGATAAAAAGTGTCTTAAGCATTGTGGTTAATATTTGGTTGGTAAACAATTACCGATGGTTTTATTCTCTATTTTACAATATCACTGAGGTTTCTTTTATGAAAATGAGATCCAAGATAAGTGCGGATAAAATGGAAAGACGTCCTGGAAAGACCGATATTGCTTCTAAGTATAGACTTGTTCTAGAAAACACTATCAGAACTAAAACGGCATTATATGGGATAATATGAATGTCCTTTTACTAATAAGAAAATGCGGTATAATTGCAAATGAGGCAACTATCCACCAAAGCTCTATTGACCTTCAACAATGCGAAAAACCCACACCGGATAGTCAGCTATAAAAGGTTGACTTACCTGGTTGACAAACAACCTAAATATGTCTTATCTATAGACCTACTTGTGACAAAGTCAGTGCCTATATTTACATAATAAGAACATGTAATAGCTTAGTTATTGAACTTTCCGTGCTAATTTAACATGTCATAACTGAACATGTGGAACTCTAAATAGGTGCAACTAAACTAAACTTAAGCACTGGTTCTGTCATTACTATGGTAAATGATACAAATGTTCACCATTTTCTGCTCTTTTGTCTGGTTGTTGCTTCTTTGACACATTCCCCTTTTCATTCTCTATTTTATTTCCAAGACTAAAATATCAATCAATACACATCCAACGGATTTAGTGTAAAGAGTCCATAAACAGTCTGAGAAAAGCAAGACCTTTTGCAATGACACACTATAAATATCTGTATCGACAGGATGTAGGATCATAAGTGTTTAGTTTGAATACATTTTATTTGCATTAAATGAGACACAAGTTAGTCAAACTTATACTCCTAAACAGTTTGTAACAATAGATTATATTTACAAACATGCATACAAACAATACAATACATTATACATATTAGATTAAGATATGCAAAAATGATAATGTGTGAATAGTTGTACAAAGTATGTATATGTTCCGGCCCATATGAGTATTTGGACCGCACGCAATTGGTCATGACCATATGAGTATATACTCGTTTGGTTATTAACGGGCTGGACCATATGAGTATTTAGACCATATAGGTATTTTTCGTATAAATTTTAACTTCCTTAACAGACACAGCTCGTTCTCTGAACCAAAATCGGCACAACTTATTAACCGAAATCCTTTATCTTTGTTACATTTTGTCTGAACCTTGGTATATTTGTTAATTGTCTTGCCCTCACTATCTCGAGTAAGTTTTAAGCACCTTTATGCTGTCGACAGTTTCGTCCGTACGTGAAACCACAGGTGTATGGGGCATGGACATTTTTTTCTCCAGGTGTATAGTATATAAATAACACATGGCTGAGAGGGTGATAGAGCAGATTGTTACCTCGAGAAAACATTGTCAACTGAGGCGAAACCAAGGTTGACAATGTCTTTTCGAGGGGTAACAAACTGCTCTATCACCCTCTCAGATATGTGTTATTGTCCCCCGCATAACGCGTTGCGGGGGACATGGAAATACCGGGCGTCCGTCCGTGTATCCGTCTGTGTGTCCGTCCGTCCGTCCGTCCGTCCGGTCATGTTAGCGCTCTCACAGGTACAATTCTTGCCAGATTTTTATAAAACTTATACTATAGATTAATATCAGAAATATCTCGGGCAAGTTCTATAATGAAGCCGATCGACTTTTTTAAAAGAGTTATGCCCCTTGGAAATATTAAATTTATTGAAAATGGAGGCGTTAGCGCTCTCACGGGTACAATTCTTGCCAGATTTTTATAAAACTTATACTATAGGTTAATATCGTTAGCGCTCTCACGGGTACAATTCTTGCCAGATTTTTATAAAACTTATACTATAGGTTAATATCAGCAATATCTCGGACAAGTTCTATAATGGTGGCCGATCGACTTTTTTTAAAAGAGTTATGACCTTTTGAAAATATAAAATATGTGCAACGCGGGGGACATTGGAACTCTGTTCTTATATTTAATTTATTATACTTAATGTTCTGTTATTACTGTCTATTAAATTTCAAATTCAAAGTTATAAACTATGACGTCTTGTATATAACAATTATCAGTATTCATTAAAGCGAACACTTGAGCAAGCGTCTCCGTGAAGGGTAATAGAGTATTTGCCATGGGATAGAGTAAATTGTCTCCCTCGTATTAACCAATCAAAATCTGGCATTTTGACGAAGACTAATAATTAGATTGTCTTTAATTTCTTCTAATTTCCAGTTATTTTCACTTAACTGATGTGTTCATACTCTTATTCATATGATTTTATAATAACAGTGGTTTCTACATAACAGAGGGGAAGCATGTATAAACTACTGTACTTGTAAATCGTATATTATTTCATGATAACGTATCATTATATTTTATATATGGTAAGCATTCCACATTATTTTTTTTCCCATTTTGGTAAAAAAAAAATTCATGATAAGATGGTGTTCAACACAGGATATAACCGCGCTGAAGTACGTTCATTATTCATTTTTCATTATTCAAAATTCAATAACGAATAATGAAATAGTTCACTATTCACTATTCAATGTTAAGTGATGAATAATGAATAATGAAATAGTTTATGTTTCATTATTCAAGTTGAAGCGGTGAATAGTGAAATAAAAATAAAAAAAATGACTGTGACACTATATAGCTATATCCCGTATTTCTAAATTAGTCTTTTTGGAGTTATCTAACAAATATTCAATTGATATCAGAAAAAATAAATAAAAACACTCTTTAAATTTTAATTTGATTTATTTATCTGGTTCTTAGTTTCGGAGGATAAACTAGTAGGTTTTCGTAACTATTTTTAACAGAAATTCCTTGGTTCAATGTATGGACGACCTGAATACCAAAACATATATATATATATAAATTAAAATACTCTATGTGGTCTTTTTTTATTTTCACTGGACCTTTGCTATTCTTCATCCTCTAATTATAGATATAACAAGTCGATTGTTCAGCAATGACCATTAGAGGGGTTACGGAGGACCTAAATGCCAAAATACGCGTGAAAATTAAGAAATAGCCAATTTTAATAATGAAATGGATATTTTGAATAATGGAATGGACTGCTGCGACCCTCTAGCCCCTAATTATAGATATACCTTATACCTCATTCGAAAGCTTATTAAGAGAGAAACAAAAGGTATATAGTCAATATGTTCCGAAACGCATATTAGAGGAGTAACGAAGGACCTAAATATCGAAATACGCGTGAACATTAAGAAATAGCTTATTTTTAATAATGGAATGGACTGCTGCAACCCGTCAGCCCCTAATCGAGGAAATATTTATACACCAAATAAAAGCTTATTGATAGAGGAATAAACTGAGTATAAACGATATGTGCCGCAATGACCATTAGAGGGGTTACGGAGGGCCTAAACGCCAAAATACGCGTGAAAATTAAGAAATAGCCAATTTTGAATAATGAAATGGATATTTTGAATAATGGAATGGACTGCTGCGACCCTTTAGCCCCTAATTATAGATATACCTTATACCTCATTCGAAAGCTTATTAAGAGAGAAACAAAAGGTATATAGGCAATATGTTCCGCAACGCATATTAGAGGAGTAACGAAGGACCTAAATATCGAAATACGCGTGAACATTAAGAAATAGCTTATTTTGAATAATGGAATGGACTGCTGCAACCCGTCAGCCCCTAATCGAGGAAATATTTATACACCAAATAAAAGCTTATTGATAGAGGAATAAACTGAGTATAAACGATATGTGTCGCAATGACCATTAGAGGGGTTACGGAGGGCCTAAATGCCAAAATACGCGTGAAAATTAAGAAATAGCCAATTTTGAATAATGAAATGGATATTTTGAATAATGGAATGGACTGCTGCGACCCTTTAGCCCCTAATTATAGATATACCTTATACCTCATTCGAAAGGTTATTAAGAGAGAAACAAAAGGTATATAGTCAATATGTTCCGAAACGCATATTAGAGGAGAAACGAAGGACCTAAATATCGAAATACGCGTGAAAATTAAGAAATAGCTTATTTTGAATAATGGAATGGACTGCTGCAACCCGTCAGCCCCTAATCGAGGAAAAATTTATACACTAAATAAAAGCTTATTGAT